CTGTACAGAGTTTTTTTTAGGATCAGTAAAAATAAACAAAGTTTAACAATATAAAATTTCATGAATAAGATTTTAACCCACGTAGTTTAAATTACATAATTTATACCGTACATTTATAGACTTTACCACGTTTGTACAGAAGCATATACATATGTGTATAGCCATTACGATATAAATATAAAACATAAAAGGATATTAAATATTGTTAAAAATACACTTTGCACTGTTAATAATTATCATCAGAAACGTTTTTATACTATTTATGATGTTCCTCATGAGGTTCTCTTTCTAACTAAATATTACATCGTTAATGTTCATTTATAATTAAATGCATATTTTGCTTGTTTATCACTCTCCTGATTTGGTATTATATGTATTAACGTGTAAAACGGAAAATAAACGAAAATTGTTACTTTCTATATAATGATACTGAAACTACGTAAAGCTAATTAAATATTAATGAAATTAGTAAACACAAATCATGTCTCACGGAACTATTAGATTACGAAACCTTATACAAAGAATATCATTTGAATTTAAATTATTTCGTTACTTCAGAAGTTCTTACGGGTATAGGGTATCAGAAGTATTATTGACGATTGCATCAATCGACATTCCGGAAGGGTAGCCACGTGCATTCTAATCTGAACTTCCAAATACCCGGCTTACATGATATGCATGGAAGTTATTTATAGCAATGGTCCACTCGCAGTCGCATGCCTCGACAAAACACGTGGCCGTAATATCAAGAGCTCAGGAAAGCAAGTGAGTCAAGCGTAACCTACTTAAGTTTCATACAGGCCTAGTAGATGCGCGGGCTCCTTATGCGGTTGTAGGCGGATGGAATCCTCTCCGTCTCACCACTTTGCTTCCGGTCTTCATTGCTAACATTTCTGATAACCTATTGAATGTTCCCTGAATGCAGAGCGTGTGTGAGTATATATGTATATAGTAGTTATGCATTATACACCTGGTTATGTATTTGCTACATAATACTAAATATCGTGTATAGCTATATACATATATTTACTTATGCAGCTATGCCAAATGTATATAACGTATAAAATAAATTGAATTTTATATTTTTATCATTTGTTTAATGTTGAATAAACAATATTAGATAATTCATTTCTTTACTAACTTTTGCAGCTTTTAATACATTTTAGATATTCTTGTAAATTCATTTATTCGTATAGATATTTAAATGTTCATAATCAAAGATCGAAGTTATTAATTATTGTTACAAATAAGAAATTATAGATGTGTAGTAGATAAGTGATTGTTGAACTCAAGACTTAATATTTTACGAATAATTATTTCTGCAACAAGTGTAATCGTGAATTACGTTCGTTCCACTACTTACTTACTAGCGAATATTCCAACCTGTTGCATAAAAATGGCGCGTTTACAGTAGCTGATGTGTCACGTTCTCACTGCATGTGATACGTGTTTCCATGCGCGCCAACTGCGCGAGTCATCTGCGGATTGTCGCCTTTATAATAGAATACCATAAATTTGAGTAGGTGTTTGTATAGTCTAACCAATGAAGCATATACTGAAAACGTAAGCACAGACAAGGTATAGAATAAACCTTGTATGAACTGAAATACCGATCTAGCAAAATATCAAAGGTTTTGTTACGCCCTCTATAATTTAAAATGATATCTTTAATAATTGCGCGAACTTAACATTCGAAATTGATAAAATCAGCAAGCGTAAGAGACTCTCTTTTGTTACATCACCAAACATATTACAAACGAGTTAAATATAGTCACAGACAAGATACAGAGTAAATCTATCACCTCAATTAATTTTTACGTCCACATCACGGGGGTTCTAGAACCCCGTTACCATTTTCATGCCACTATGTTACCGATTCAGCATAGAATAAGATTACAACATTAATAGTGATTGGAATTAGAACTAAATGCAGTTACGAAATTAGAAATAACGGACATTCAGTCGAAGTTCGGGTTTGATCTGCTCCGTGATGTGAAACTAATAAAGTTCGAAATGTGCCGTGTTACGTGATAAAAATACTGTGCCTATGTGATTTATTTGTGCAAAAGTTTAAAAAGTGACGTTTTTTTAGTTATTCCACTGTCCATGTCAAGCGGCGATATGTTCTATCGTGTATTTAATAACTGACAACAGGTTAGCGACAACAATCGAGTACTTACATACGTGGTACGTATATATTACCCATAATGACAATTTACATTCTTATATTTTATATTGCAACATAAGAAAGCATGATTAATCAATTGGTGAAATGTTTCTCATGGAAATAAGTCTAA